GTGGCGAATCGTCAAAGTTTGCGAGGCTGCCACGGACACGCCCATCGACGAAAACTCTAAAGCTTCGCAATTTAACATCGCCAAGGCCTTTAGATGACAAAACCCAATTTTGGTGTCGATCGGATAAAATCCCTAGGAGGAGTTCGTTAAAATACAACGCCTGGAAATGGCAAAAACGCCACTTTTTCGCCGCAGGAAGTCAAAAATATCCAACTTCCTGTTGGGTTTGAGATATGGCTCCAAGAGACTTTTTCGTATGTTTTGGCATGTTTGAGGTGTGTGCCAATTTTCATGCATGTGCGTGATTCGTGGATCGGGGGCTCGTCCGTTTAAATTTTCTAGGTGGCGCTGTCGAGTCATTTTGCCACACCCCTTTTAGAGACCCATAATAAACGTAAATTTTCGCCACTTCTGAGGCGTGTGCGAAGTTTCATGAGTTTTCGGGCATGTTTAGCCCCTCAAAACCGCGATTCATTCCGCGGAAGAAGAAGAAGAAGAAGAAGAAGAATAATTAAAGCTGCAAGCAGCGATGATAGGGACCTCACACCCGGGCTCACCGCCACCCGGTAGCCTCAGGATGACAGAAAACAGTGAACAATAATATCTTAAGCCGACATATATAAAAAACCTGAGAAAATCACAGATTTATGCCAAACTTCCTTCTGTCAGCAGGTGGCGCTATGACCGTGACTCAATATTGCAATGTAGATTTCTTCAGGAGAGGAATTTAATCAACCATGTGAAGTTTCAGGCAGATCGAACATTGTTTAGCTGAGTTATAAGCCAAACTGCCTTTTGTCAGCAGGTGGCGCTACGACAGACTCAATGTTGATATGTAGATGTGTTCAGGAGAGGACTTTTATCAACCATGTGAACTTTCAGGCAGATCGGACTTTGTGTGGTTGAGTTATAATGCAAACTACCATCTGCCAGCAGGTGGCGCTATAACTGTGACTTAAGATTGGCATGTAGATGCCTTCAGTAATGGAATTTAATCAACCATGTGAAGTTTCAGGCAGATCGGATGTTGTTTGGCTGAGTTATAAGCCTATCTACCTTCTGCCAGCAGGTGGCGTTATGACTGACTCATTACTGTTTTGGGGATGTGTTCAGAAGAGGACTTTTATGAGCCATGTGAAGTTTCAGGCTGATCTGACTTTGTGTGGTTGAGTTATAAGGACTTCCTGTTCCACGGCGAAGTGTTGAGGTTTGTCATGCCGCCACGGACACGCCCCTCTGCAAAAACTCTAGATCTTGACAATATATCATCACTTAAGCTTTCAGATAACAACCAACCAAATTTGGTGCTGATATGAAAAAAATTGTGGGAGGAGTTTATTACTCTGTAAATCATGACATTTCCTGTGGCCAGCAGGTTGCGCTATAACTGTATCTGGATATTGGCATGTAAACATGTTCTGGTCTGGACTCTTATTAAACGTGAATTTTGAGGCAGATCTGATAATGCATGCCTAAGTTATAATGACTTCCGGTTTTGTGGCGAATCGTCAAAGTTTGCGGGGCCGCCATGGACACGCCCATCGACAAAAACTATAAAGCTCCGCAATTTAACATCGCCAAGGCCTTTAGATGACAAAACCCAATTTTGGTGTCGATAGGATAAAATCCCTAGGAGGAGTTCGTTAAGATACAACGCCAGGAAATGGCAAAAATGCCACTTATTTGCAGCAGGAAGTTAAAAATATCCGACTTCCTGTTGGGTTTGAGATATGGCTCCAAGAGACTTTTTCGTATGTTTTGGCGTGTTTGAGGTGTGTGCCAATTTTCACGCATGTGCGTGATTCGTAGATCATGGGCTCGTCCGTTATATTTTTCTAGGTGGCGCTGTCGAGTCATTTTGCCACGCCCACTTCAATATTGTTATGTGGATGTGTTCAAGAGATGACGTATATCAACCATATGAAGTTTCAGGCTGATCAGACTTTGTGTGGTTGAGTTATGAGGACTTCCCGTTCCTTGGCGAAGCGTTGAGGTTTGTCATGCCGCCACGGACACGCCCCTCTGCAAAACTCTAGATCTTTACAAAATATCACCGATAGAGCTTTCAGATGACACCACTCAAATTTGGTGCTGATACCATAAAATTTGTGGGAGGAGTTTGTTACAGTGTAAAACATGTCATTTCCTGTGGCCAGTAGGTGGCGCTATTTCTGTATCTGGATATTGGCATGTAAACGTGTTCAGGTCAGGACTCTTATCAAACGTGTGAATTTTGAGGCAGATCGGATAATGCATGTCTGAGTTATAACGACTTCCTGTTTTGTGGCGAATCGTCAAAGTTTGCAAGGCCGCCACGGACACGCCCATCGACGAAAACTCTAAAGCTTCGCAATTTAACATCGCCACGGCCTTTAGATGACAAAAACCAATTTTGGTGTCGATCGGATAAAATCCCTAGGAGGAGTTCGTTAAAATACAACGCCTGGAAATGGCAAAAACAGCACTTTTTCGCCGCAGGAAGTCAAAAATATCCGACTTCCTGTTGGGTTTGAGATATGGCTCCAAGAGACTTTTTCGTATGTTTTGGCGTGTTTGAGGTGTGTGCCAATTTTCGTGCATGTGTGTGATTCGTGGATCGGGGGCTCGTCCGTTTAATTTTTCTAGGTGGCGCTGTCGAGTCATTTTGCCACGCCCACTTCAATATTGTTATGTGGATGTGTTCAAGAGATGACGTTTATCAACCATGTGAAGTTTCAGGCAGATCGGACATTGTGTGGTTGTGTTATAAGGACTTCCTGTTCCATGGCGAAGCGTTGAGGTTTGTCATACCGCCATGGACACGCCCCTCTCCGAAAACTCTAGATCTTCACAATATATCATCGCTAGAGCTTTCAGATAACACCACTCAATTTTGGTGTTGATACGATAAAATTTGTGGGAGGAGTTTATAATTCCGTAAATCATGTCATTTCCTGTGGCCAGCAGGTGGCGCTGTAACTGTATCTGGATATCGGCATGTAAACTTGTTCAGGTCAGGACGCTTATCAAGCGTATGAATTTTGAGGCAGATCAGATAATGCATGCCTGTGTTATAACGACTTCCTCTTTTGTGGCGAATCGTCAAAGTTTGCGAGGCCGCCACGGACACGCCCATCGATGAAAACTCTAAAGCTTCGCAATTTAACATCGCCAAGGCCTTTAGATGACAAAACCCAATTTTGGTGTCGATCGAATAAAATCCCTAGGAGGAGTTCGTTAAAATACAACGCCTGGAAATGGCAAAAACGCCACTTTTTCGCCGCAGGAAGTTAAAAATATCCGACTTCCTGTTGGGTTTGAGATATGGCTCCAAGAGACTTTTTTGTATGTTTTGGTGTGTTTGAGGTGTGTGCCAATTTTCGTGCATGTGCGTGATTCGTGGATCGGGGGCTCGTCCGTTTAATTTTTCTAGGTGGCGCTGTCGAGTCATTTTGCCACGCCCACTTCCGAAGCCCATAACAAACGTAAATTTTCGCCACTTCTGAGGCGTGTGCAAAGTTGCGTGAGTTTTCGGGCATGTTTAGCCCCTCAAAACCGCGATTCATTCCGCGGAAGAAGAAGAAGAAGAAGAATAATAATAAACGGAGCAATTCCAATAGGGCCTACGCACCGTTTCGGTGCTCGGTCCCTAATAATAATAATAATAAACGGAGCAATTCCAATAGGGCCTACGCACCGTTTCGGTGCTCGGTCCCTAATTATAGCAGACACTGTAAAAAGGTCATTTCCAGCCACTAGACTTTTCTGACAGGGTATTCGAGTGTTAAAATGTTGTGGGACTGCTGTACAGGAGTTATCATTATTGATTTTAGATAGCAAAACTTTGCGGTTTTCATTTAACCTTTTTTTTTTAAAGCATGACGGTAAAACACAAATTCGGTTATGAATGTAATAAAACATATGCTTGTTTGTCGTAAAAATGACAAAAAAATACTAATTTGTGCATCTCCTTACATCCGTGAGCAGATATGCTGCAGTTGTGGCTGGTGTTACCCCTTGGTTTAAGGCCCCGTCTACACTAATGCGTTTTTTCGTTTTAAAACGCATAAGTTTTGCTACGGTTACGCCATCCGTCTACACTATGCCGGAGTTCTCGAGCGCCGAAAACGGAGCGTTTCGAAAACGCTGGAGAGGCCGTTTTCATTCTAAAACGCTGCTGCTCCGTCTCAGTGTGCATGGGGAAAGACGGAGACATCCGAAAACGGAGGCGTTCAGTCTCGCATCCTGTTCTTATTGCGAGATTAGATCCAGCGGGAGATGCTTGATGAGCAGTCCGACAAGCAGAGCTCTCATCTGGGTAGAAATGCAGCAGCGCTTGCCCAAGAGTGTTTGTGTGTGTGGTCACGTGATGTGCGTTTTCAGCGTTTTGGTGTGGACGGAGAGCAGTGTAGAAACGCTAGGTAAAACGCAAGTGTGGACGCGGATCGTTTTCATTCTAAAACGCCGCTTTAAAACTAAAACGCACTAGTGTAAACGGGGCCTAAGTGTGGTCCTGAAAAATCTCTGTTTGAAGGGGTATCTACCCCTTTCCCTTAGCCCTTCGCCTTCAAGCTAAAGAGAATTGGGACACCCCTACCCCTTTACGTGAATGCGCAAAACAAGGGGTAAGAAGAAGGGCTAAGGGGTAGACTTGGAACTGAGCCTTAGTTTTAATCGTAGTCTAGGAAAGACAGTTGAGTGCCAAGAAAAGTGTAGAAATTATATTGAAGTGACATTTATGTAATTTGACAAAATGCACTTTTAAAGATCTCAACCACTTTATATTATAGTGATTATAAATATCATTTGGAATTGTTGTAACATGATTTTAAAACTCAAGTCCGCACAAGGGCAACTCAGGCATGCTAAAACACACTTGACTGACTCATGGTCTAAAGTCATGCAAATTGTGATAGAATGTAAAACTGTTGTTGATTGTTTCCATGCCACCCAGAGTGAGTGCTCCATTTGCATTCTCTTGGTCTTAAGCCAAACGAATTACAAAGACATTACACAAGCAGTTTTCAGGTGGCACAGTACAGCCTGATCTTTTATTCTCACCCAAGAGCACTTAAACCAAGAAAATGAAAGCTGTTTACACTCTAGCGGTTAGCATTGTAGCAGTTCTCAATGTTTCTGTCTATGTTGTAACTTTTGCAAGTACTGGTTTTCATTTTGCTGATGACCTGAATTTTAAAGGAAGTCTTTAGATGATATCACCTTAACCTTTTTGGTTTGTCATGTGCGCTTGGAGGTTGGCCTGCAAGTGGACAATTTGTTTATACTATACACAGACTACCAAAAACAGACACCACACATAAGTAACAGGAAAATCTGAGTAAAAAATAAAAACTACTTGTAAACTACATCTTCAAAAAGAGCATGGAGAGCATCAGCAATATTTTGCCAGTGAAAATGCTGTTTCGAAAACTGGGACGAGTGGTGTTTTTAATACTCCTCTCCTTCTTCCTCTCCTTCTTCTCCGACGCTGTCTGTGCCCACCTCTTCATAATCCTTCTCCAGGGCAGCCATGTCTTCTCTGGCCTCTGAGAACTCTCCCTCCTCCATACCTTCACCCACATACCAATGAACGAAAGCTCTCTTGGCGTACATCAGATCAAACTTGTGGTCCAGACGAGCCCAGGCTTCAGCAATGGCTGTGGTGTTGCTCAACATGCACACGGCTCTCTGCACTTTAGCCAGGTCTCCTCCGGGAACCACAGTTGGGGGCTGGTAGTTGATGCCAACCTTGAACCCGGTGGGACACCAGTCCACAAACTGGATGGTGCGTTTGGTTTTGATGGTGGCGATGGCAGAGTTGACGTCTTTGGGTACGACATCTCCACGGTACAGCAGACAGCAAGCCATGTACTTGCCGTGACGGGGGTCGCACTTCACCATCTGATTGGCTGGTTCAAAGCAAGCGTTGGTAATTTCTGCAACAGAGAGCTGCTCGTGGTAGGCTTTCTCAGCGGAGATCACTGGGGCGTAGGTGGCTAAAGGGAAGTGGATACGTGGATAGGGCACCAGGTTAGTTTGGAACTCGGTCAGATCTACGTTCAGGGCTCCATCGAAGCGCAGGGAGGCGGTGATGGAGGAAACGATCTGCCCGATCAGCCTGTTGAGGTTTGTGTATGTGGGACGCTCGATGTCTAAGTTTCTTCTGCAGATGTCGTAGATGGCCTCGTTGTCTACCATGAAGGCACAGTCAGAGTGCTCGAGGGTGGTGTGGGTGGTGAGGATGGAGTTGTAGGGCTCCACCACTGCTGTGGATACTTGGGGTGCAGGATAAATGGCAAACTCAAGCTTGGACTTCTTTCCGTAGTCAACAGAGAGCCGTTCCATAAGGAGGGAGGTGAACCCAGAGCCAGTGCCACCACCAAAACTGTGGAAGATCAGGAAGCCCTGGAGCCCAGTGCACTGATCAGCCTGCAGGATTCAACACTGTGATTATTCAATGATCCTAAAGATAAAGCAAATATTTGAACCCAAGATTGTCTTACCAGTTTGCGAGTCCTGTCCAGCACCAGATCAATGATCTCTTTGCCAATGGTGTAGTGACCACGAGCATAATTATTGGCTGCATCTTCCTTACCGGTGATCAACTGCTCAGGGTGGAACAGCTGGCGGTAAGTACCTGTGCGCACCTCATCTGGAAAATCAAATTGCATTTGTTTTTAGCAGATCGTTCTTGATACCATGTACATTGAGTATAGGCTAGAGGTCTGATGTACTTTGACTCCTCCGCAGGATCTGACCAGATTTCTTGCGACGCAGAATTATTTTTTTAATACAATTTTTGCAATAAACTGCGAGTGCACAGCCGCGAGTTGTGGAAGCATTTCATTGCTTGATTTCATTACATGGATGGACCAGTGATTACTGCTTCATGCATTTTATTTGTGGGTCTGTAGGCGCATCATGTGCATAGTGGCCCTCAGACAGAACAGGCAGGTTGTCGATGAATGACAGGGCAGAAAAAGTATTATATAGCATATTTTGGATGGTCTGTCCTTGAAGGATGTTCGACTTAGAATTTTAAGTTACAGATTATTATTCTCTATTAAATGTTTTCTATTTATGTTGACATTAGCAATTTTACAAGTTCATTTTAAGGTTGGGTCCATAGACGATCCCATCGTCCATCGTAGATGGCCAATAGACATCACAATGCTGAGCCGGCATCGCGATCATCCACCCTGCCACCATCGCAGCAGCCACCCTCTTGCAAAAAACACACACTCGTTTACACTAATACGTTATAGTTTTAAAATGGCATTGTAGAACGAAAATGATCCACGTCCACACTGGTGTTTAACCGCTGAAAACGCACATTACGTGACCACACACTCTGTCATGCGCTCTAGCATATGTGCACGTCTGAGCTCCAAGCAGGCAGAGAGCAGGTACTTTGAGCACGAAACCCTAGAGAGCAGTGCTCTCCGGTCAGTTTATTAAAGATGTACAGCTGCATCGCGTCTCACTATAGTTGTTTAACGTGATATTTAATTAATCTTGTCTCTATCTAACGACTTTTCAGTCTTTCGAATCTATCAGGTAACGTGTCACAGCGTGAGTACACTGCTTCAATCTTTCACTTTAACGCTTGTACTTAGTAATTTTAGCAAAAACCTCAGATACTGTTGGTTGGTTTCTGTTGGTTGTGCACCTTTTTTACCAACCAAGTTTGTCTACGCCATTATAAGGACACAGATCACTCTGCCTATTCATGCCAGAGTACCATGGAAAAAAGTGTTTGACAGGTGATAATTTGTGTGTAACTTATCTTTATTTATTTATGATTTGGTTATGGGTAAAACGAAGACCATGTGGGTCAGGTAGATAAAACGGTAGGCTACAAATAATTAATCTGTTATTAATATGACAACGACGATACCATCGTCAATCGCAATTACTTTACATTAGACATCATACGATGCCAAATTATTCGACATCGCCCAACCCTAGTTCATTCATTTATTCATTTTCCTTTAGCTTAGTCCCTGATTTATCAGGGTTCACCACATAGGAATAAACCACCAACTATTCCAGCATATCTTTTACACAGCGGATACCCTTCTAGTCGCAACCCAATGCTGGGAAACGCACTCATACACTATGGCCAATTTAGTTAATCAAATTCACCTACACCATGTCTTTGGACTGTGGAGGACACCCATTCGAACATGGGTAGAGCATGCAAACTACACACAGAAATGCCAACTGGCCCAGCCGAGACTCGAACCAGTGGCCTTCTTGCTGTGAGGCAACAGTGCTAACCACTGAGCCACCATGTTACAAGTTAAGTAATGTTAAGTAGTTGTACAGCCTACATTTTTAATTGTTATCCCTCTCTTTCGGTAGCGTGAGATTGTGGAAATGAAATTTATATTTAGCTAGAAGTGGACTGTTGGTAAAAAAAGAAATTAATATATAGCAGGAGCGGTGGTGCGAAACAAAAGGAGTGGGAGTGGGCAGGAGCAGCAATGATAACACAGTCACACACAGACCTCTAGTACAGTTAGTCACTTCATTGAAGTATAGTGTATCATAAGAGAATCGGTTTCATTACCAATGACAGTAGGCTCCAGGTCGACAAAGACCGCTCTTGGGACATGTTTTCCAGCTCCCGTCTCACTGAAGAAAGTGTTAAAGGAGTCGTCGCCCCCTCCGATCGTTTTATCACTTGGCATCTGGCCATCTGGCTGGATCCCATGCTCCAGGCAATACAACTCCCAGCATGCATTGCCCATTTGCACACCTGCCTGGCCAACGTGGACTGAAATGCACTCACGCTAGAGTTTAAACAAGAAGCATTTGAATATTGGTTTAATGAACACATAACTAAAATCAAAAACAATAATCAAGATTTACACAAAAAGTCATAAATATTTCAGAAGACATCCGTCAAAAGTGCAAGTCATGTCCAGTCGTTTACTATCATAAATAATACATCAGATGAATAAATCATTTAAGAGGCCTTACCATTGTAGAACTTTCCTCTGGCCGACGTCAAAAGTTCGGTTGAGAAATCTTGTGTTGGTTCTCTGTGACAATGTCCTCACTATATAAAGCCCAAGCTGATGCCATGGTAACAGGGTTTGTTGTTGGCAACAAAGGGGTTAAGCCAAATTATGCCAATGTCAATAATAGATGACCGGAGTGCAGTGAACAAACCGGCCTAGTTACATCCCAGTGCTTCAAGATTCCTGCAAAAGAAACACACTAACAGGCCAACACTTGTCCAGTTATTCACAGTTATTAATATTTAACCTTACTTGTGGATCAGTTCTCAAAAAAAAAAAAAAAAAAAAAGAGTTGTAAAGTGACTGTTTAGAGTCAGACCTATCGGTTTCAACTTTGTTTTTACTGCAATGGTTAATAGAAGAATCATTTTTCTTATCATAAAACACTTTCGGTGACAAGTTCCTAAATCAACCTTATTTTCTTATCGGGGATGAACAAGAAATCATTCCTTTTTCACTAAAATAACCTTATGTGCGATAGAAAGATCCTCTGAATGTTAATGCTTTTTTATGGAGCCCCAAGGCGAAAGGGAATCCTCTGTTGCCTTGCTTCACATTTTACACCGCTCACAATTAATCATGAAAAATTCATAAACTGAGGTTTCAAACTAGAGATCTGTATTCACCCTGCTTGACTCGATCACATTTCCCGCAAAGTGGAGTTCAGTTTCCAAATGAAAGATGATAGTGGTTGGCAACTCTGGTAGACTTAAGACTTTAAGTCTAACAATAATCAGCAATTCCTTGCACCACTTAAAATCGGTGTCCTTGACGTTTAGCAGTGGTCACATTCACACAGTTCCTTGCCCGATGGTATCTCTTAGTATCCCAATATCTTTTTTTTTTTTTCGCCTAATAAGGAACAGGCAAGTGTGGAAAGAAAAGTCTAGCTGGAACAGACAGGAACTGCAGCCCTTGGTTAATGTCCTTACTTGCATTTTCATCGGAGTGAATGACTGCAGTTTGCAAAATGTCAAATCTTCCTGAATAGACTTCATATTGTGCACTTACGAAAATGAGCTAAGGTTTTTCTACACTGGAAATACTATGGAAGTCAATACAGTTGAAGTCAGAATTATTAGCCGCCCTTTGAATTTTGTTTTATTTTTTTAAATATTTCCTAAATTATGTTTAACAGAGCAAGAAAATGTTCACAGTATGTCTGATAATATTTTTTCTTCTGGAGAAAGTCTTATTTGTTTTATTTTGAATAGAATAAAATCTGTTATGAATTTTTAAAAAACATTTTAAGGTCAAAATTATTAGCCCCTTTAAGCTATATTTTTATTTATTATTTTTTTAATTATATTTCTATAGAACAAACCATCGTTATACAATAACTTGCCTAATTGCTGTAACCTTCCTAGTTAACCTAATTAACCTAAGTTAAGCCTTTAAATGTCACTTTAAGCTGTAAAGAAGTGTCTTAAAAAATATCTAGTAAAATATTATTTACTGTCATCATGGTAAACATAAAATATATTAGTTATTAAAACTATTATATTTAGAAATGTGTTAAAAAAATCTGCTCTCTGGTAAACAGAAATGGGGGGGTGGGGGGGGGTGGTTAAACAGGGGGGCTAATAATTCTGACTGAAAAACTGTAGCTGTTTTCTTAAAGTATACTGCATCTTTCTTCGTGTTACCCAGATGAAATAAACTCAAGTAGGTTTGGAAAAAGTGGAGGATGAGTAAATGATTTTCATTTTTAAGTAAACTATCACTTTAAGCGCAGTGCAGTGAACAAAAACATGAACAAAAAAACCCACCATGATATGTGGAAACCAAGCACCAGCATCATGTTGTCAGCATCTGCTTGGGCAAATACCACTTCCACTTCTTCAAACTAAATTTGAAGCATATCATCTAGACTTCCTTTTTCCCTCTTCATATACAGACTCCCAAATCTACTTCTCTAAAAGCTTTGTTTCTGTCTCTATGTAAACTGTGCTAACTGTTCCAATCTCTCACCTGAAGCTCTTGCCTTGTCATTTCTCCACCCTAATTAAATCTCTACACTATTGTTAACCGTCTGTGTGGCCATGGAGCCCAAAAACAAACATTTCTCATCTCTACCCTGAACGCTCCCATGACAATAAACGCAGATGTAATCCAGCTTTGTTTAAATGAGCTGTTATTAGCTGCTAGCTTATAATAGGATGTCAGTCAAGGTGCTGTTATGTGTTCGTTTTTTTCAAATCAGTAATATAAGAAGCTCTTATAGTGCGTCAAATCACATGACAAGAAAAACAGGACACTAGATTCGATGTTCAGGATGGTTTTAATTTTAATACGCTTCTTCAGGGCCGCCAGACAGGGCGTTTCTTACAAAGAACTACATGTTAAGACAGAGCATCCTAAGCTACCAAAATGCTGTGGGACGCTTTCTGATAAAACATAAAATACATTGCCACAGGCTATTAAATATGAGAACCTTGATCATTCGTAAGTCACCAATAGTTAACAGTTTTAGACAGAAACTTGGATAGACCTGACCTCTTGCTGTCTGTTCATTTCAATTAAATATTGTAATATTCAAAACTGATGTAAGTTAGCGCCTGTAAACAGAAAAATATATAAATTCCAGATTTACACAATACAGCCTGACAACGGCGCACTTGATAGTACAGAGCAGTAAGATTTCACAATTAGCAGCTAATTTACCCTGCTTTGGAAATTCTGCAACGGATTGGCAAAAGTAGATTGCTAGCATATTTGATATTAGATTTTAGCAAAGGCGTTAAAGCAGAGAGTCGTTCGCTAAATATTTTCAGCACATTCGCATTTCCAATAATCTATCTTAATCGAAATGTGTTGAAATGCTGCATTTGAATCAGTAGCTATGTTTCCAACCAAAAATGCGAATTAAATTTATGCGCAAAAATGTACTATCGCATAAGACGTGCGAATAAAGCACCAATTCCATCCAACGACTTAAAAAACAACAAAAAAAAAAACAAAGTCATTCTGATTAACAGGCGCCAAATATCAAAAATAAAAACGGAATTTGCTGCCGTAGGAAAATCTGCTTGAATCGTTTCTTTCATTCATTCATTTTCTTGTGGGCTTAGTCCCTTTATTAATCCGGGGTCGCCACAGCGGAATAAACCGCCAACTTATCCAGCAAGTTTTTATGCAGTGGATGCCCTTCCAGCCGCAACCCATCTCTGGGAAATGAATCGTTTCTTTATTTACTAAATTACTTGCGCCTCAGAAGACAAATGCAGACACGCAATGAACGTGTGGTGGTGTTTGAAAGCGTGAGAGCACAGACGTCCTTGACTAGTCTGGGAGTAGTTAATCATGTGATAATACTAATACTGAAATAGTTACGGCATTTTAGAATGACCAAACCCAGATTTCAGATGTTTCACAATGTGCTCAGCCAGCTGGTTCGTCCATTAATGGGCATGCTGGAATTGGTTCCATCAACCGTTTTTAATGTGCATATCCAAAATGCGCATAAAAATAAGTGGATGGAAGCATAGCTATTGTTATTTAAACGCTATCTCACGGCGATTCGTAACTGTTGGATTTAGTAGCAAATTTGTATGCATTTATACGATCTCATTTGTACAATGTAGTACGATTTGCTCAGCCCCCAATGAGGGTTGGGTTTAGGGACGGGGTTTGCTGTCTCGCCTCTTTTTTTAAAAATCGTACATTTTCATTCGACTGAATTCGCAAACTAATTTAACGTAAAGTAGTTACGTTTCCTCGTGAGATCAGGCTGGTTATTTCCAAACAATACGATTTCATTTTTCCACCTGAAGTAATCAACATTTCAGACAACTGAATTTTATTACAAAAAAGATGTTTGCGCACATATTTCTATTGACGCAACTCTAATCGGAGGATCAGTGCATCGCAGACTACAAATCTATTTTTGACATGATTTTCTATTTTAATGTTAGTACGATCGATCTCCAGTTCTTTAAAAAATAAAGCTTCATTCACTCGTCTAAAAGATCTATAAACATTCAAGCAACCGTGATAAATATTTAAACCTCTTTGGTTTTAAAATGCATCGCAAAAAAATGTGTTTCAAGTTGTTCATACAGTACAACCACAGTGGTTTGTCCCATAAGCATAAATGTCTTAACATTTGGTGGCAAATACCTCTTAATGGCAGAAAAAAAGAACAAATATCTGATTAGCCCCTCGCATGCTAGAAACCCCCTGAATCGTTGAAATGACGCCTTTTTCAACTACAAATCGAAAACATTTGAATGCATTAAGATCATTAAAACTCTTTTGGGAGCCTGAAAATGCTAACGTTAGAAAGCGTGGTTCAGTGTGGATGTTTTGATTGCATTGTATGTTTTTATATGCGTAGTGTTCGTTTTTAGAGCATTGTTGTTTTCTAAATCCTATCATTTATAATTATACAGAACTAAGATATTAACGGGACTCATTTTCACGAGACTCAAGATATTATGAAATAATCCTAAATAAAATTAGCAATATTTTAAAGTCAACATGAAATCGAGTTTGTCTTTTCCAATTTACTCCTGAAATCTGACATTCATGTGAAAAAAAAGGAATATAATATACAGCGAGTCTTGATTGTAGATTTGAAACTAATTGATTTGGGAATTTGCGAGTGTTGATCAAATGTCCAAAGTCTGCTTACATTATGCTTTTAGTTGCTTTTGGTTGAGATGATATTCTTAAGTATTTACACTTTTTGATTTTACTGTATGTTAAACAAACGCTGAATTTTTCAAAGGAAACTAAATAAACCTATTTTCATATTTTTGTGTTTTTGGTATAAGTTGTAAGTTGTTCCAGTTGGGTTAAATATAGTAGTGAAGAAACAACAGAAGTTTAAAAAGCAGTTAAAACTAGTTTACCGTAAGTAACTGGCAAGTTAACAAAGCACAAAATATAACCTTTAGACTTTGCTAGATTTACAATGATAATTTCTGTGATAGCGTATCATCCAGCAAAAATATTTGCCCCAGAATTGATTTTCTACCATTTTCTACTTTTATAATGGGATTTCTTTTCAATAATTAACTTGTTAACTGTATCCGTGTTGCCTTTTTTGTCAAATACTTAACCGCATACAATTATTTTAATCATGTAGAGTACCAAAAACATTCACAAGTCAAAGGGGGTTACATGCATTTACACGACAAGCACAATACACAAATAAATGTAAAAGTGATAGATCTTTTTAATTACTGCTCTTAAAATGTACTCACAATCTTAATTTCCTGCCACAGCAGAATGAACCACCAATTACTCTGGCAATTGTTTTACATAGAGGATGCCTTTGCAGTTCTAATAATGACACCTTTTTATGTTTAGGGAAATGGCACTTTATATCTGCTATACAGATGAGCATGGCGATCCACAACGTCAGGTGAGTGTAAGTTATAACCTATTACAGGGTGTCCGCAGGGTCTTAAAAAGTATTAAAAGTTGATAAATCAATTATGAGAAAATGAATGCCCTTAAAAGGTATTAAAAAGTCTTAATTGTGTTTTATGAGGTTTTTACGAGCGTTGTCTAAAGTGTTTGACTCCAAAAAAGCATAAATATATTTATTTTCCTCCTAATATTAACACGTGCTTGATCAACGCGATTGGTTCGGGCTGGGGCACGTCTGGCCAAGCTCCTCCATCTGAGTATTGTCAAGTAATTTACGACAAACGCAAAACGGAAGATGGTGTGACTCTCTTCAAATGTAGCGAAACCATAGAGCGAAACAGACGGCAAAATGGGAAAATGTACATTTGCGAACTCCTTGTTGGAGAAAGAAGAGTTTAAACAGTGGCTGAAGCCTGTCACTGAAAACAACCGCGTAATTTATTCTTTCAAGCTTTGTTTCTTCCGAGATTATCTGAGTTCTGTTGCGTGGATGTGAACCATTGATTTATTTAACCAAAACTGTTTATTAACAGCTGTTTGTTAAGTGAAAGGTTTGATACTGATTAGAACCTGAAATGGCGATTATGTCTTGTAATATTCCAACACAATCTCACAGCAATTCGTAACTTTTTTTATTTAGTGACTTATTCGTATGAATTCGTATGATCTAATTCGTACAATTTAGTACGATTTGCTCATCACCCAATGATGGTTGGGGTTAGGGGGGAGGTTGGGTGCCACGCCTCCTTTTTAAAATCATACAAGGTCAGTTGTACGAAAATGTACGAATTAGCCACTAATCTGACAAAACGTAAAATACTTACGTTTCCTTGTGAGATCAGGCTGAACATTCTGAGAGGGTCTTTAAAAAGTCTTAAAAGGTATTGAAATTACCTTTAGGATTCCTGCATATACCCTTTATTACACTAATGTCTACAATGTGAAATGAGAGAATTTGTGATGGTTACTTTTTTCAGTTTGACTCATTGGTGAATAATCTTATTTATAGCATCAAAAGAAAAGTGTGATTGGTTGTAATGCTCAACACTGCAAGAAACAAATGATGCAATGTGCACAGATCTTAACGCACCAAACTATTTATTTAAACGCTTTTACATTTAGTATTTTTTCTGCAGGTTATTCAACCTTTAACAATTTTGAATTTGTGTGGCACTTCTGCTTTAAGTCTGTTAAATTCGGACTCTTGTGTCGTCATAATCTTTGAAAAATTTCATGTTAACTTTAAGCCGAGTCGTGCGGGGTTTGACTTTCCAAAATGGCTCAACAACAAACGCAAGTCAAATCAGCCCCCAGCATTCATTTCAACCTGAGATCTATCACTTTACACACATCTAATGGCCTTTATCTGACTCCAGTTCTACAAAAGTGATGACAGTATGCTGAAGAAACTTTTTTTTTTTTGCTTGTGTAGCCATTATTTTTCAAGATGTTTTATAAAAAAATCGTTATCACAGTAGAGTAGAAGTGAGAAAATGAAGGATGAGAACAGGTGGTTGTGAGAAAGCGACTCCGCTCACAGTTTCTGGGTGAAGTTTTCAGGGAAGACTCCTTTTGCTAGGAGGTTTTTGTTCTGAAGCCAGTGGGACTCTTTTACACCCATTAACCAGCCATCATCCTGCAAACACACATATTGAGTGATTCTGCATTGCAGTGTGTATGTTTGAGCATGTGTGTCATGACTGACCGCTTCATCTGGGTTGGCAAAGGGAAGCACAAGCACAATGTCACCAGCCTTCAGGTCAAGTTCATCACTGTCTGTTGCACTGTAGTCGTGCATTGTTTTCACCTGCAACAACAAACATGTTAGTAAATTCTATTGTAGACATAAATATATACGGTAGTAAACATTTTGAAATTCTAGAGTAGAGCTGCATGATTCTGGCTAAAATGAGAATCGCGATATTTTTGCTTAAAATAAAGATTAAAATAAAGGTATGGTAAAAACAAACATATGGCACAACATTGATAATAATATTATGTGTAGGTCTACTGGTTTCTATAAATAATTCTATTCAACTTATAATAATTCTGATGTTGCATTATTATGTTTGAGATATATGCTTGCAATCTGTCAAATTAGACAAATGTATTCACTGGTAAAATCAGGCATTTGCCATTATCAGATTAAAATTACCGGCAATTTTCCGTAAAGGTTGTATGTGTGAACAGGTCCTTTTTGAAAATACCGGTAAATTCGTTCTGGCTATTTTCCGGAAAAGAGAAGTTGTAACATTACCGGCAATTTGCCGGAATGCTGCGCTGTGTGAATGCAGAAGGAAGATTCCCGTAATAAGCGCGTGCACGTCTAGAACGTGCTGACGTGAGACGTCTGCTTTAGCCAATCACAACAGTCAGACGCATTTACGTCCGCGCGGTTTGTGAGGATAAAAGCCTTTAAATATTTTTCCAGACACATTTAGCTGCTAGAAGTTAGTCAGATCACGTTTATATGTTCTTCTTAATGCCAACTGTGTAAATAATCATCGATGAGATGCTTATGATAAGCCGTTGTTTGTTTACCTTCAAGCTTTGCGTGTGCTTGTGATACAGCCTGTGAGCGCCAGCACACACACATATTATGAACATCTCGACATGCGAAAGTGATCCTGCGAAAGTTGTTCACAATATTGATCATCCACAGAGTTTTTAATTTAGTCAAATGTTTACAAACACAAGCGCAGCCGTTTAAAGCTCATTTGTGGTGAATGATGTCAGAATTTACCGGTATTTTGGAATGGATGTGTGAATGCTCTTTTCCGGAAAATTTCCGTAACGTCCTCGCCTGTGTGAACAGCGCTTTTTTCAATATACCGGTAAAGTCTTTCCAGAAATTTTCCAGATATTTACCGGTATCACTGTGTGAAAGGGGCTATTGTAAACATTTATTTTCATGCACAACTGTGGGTTCGCTATGAAAGAAAAAACATTTCAAATGCTCGTCGTAATCATAACTCTAAAATGCAATATGATAATTTAAAAGAAGTGCACACTTTCGGTTTCATTTTGACTGCTAAGTGCTTGTTCATACTTCGCGCGCGGCTCCCAAACGATCACTCTGTGCCACAAACTGAATATTATTTACAACTGTATTACCTGTTACTCGCAACATATGCAGGTTCTGTTTACTAAAGTAGGCGCGCGCGCGTCTATCATTAAGTCGAGCGAGCTCGCGCCCTCTGTGATAACAGCTCACGGTCAGCTGCACACGTCACGTGTGATTTCCCGATCGCGAGAACATCATTATATTAAGACAAAAATGACATTTTTAGTTAGATTATACCTTATAAATACAGTATGTGACTCATTCAACATTATTTGGAGGTGTCAATGTCACTGAGCAACGTGTGAGAAACAATGAAAAGACTCCTGCGGCCGCCTTTTCTTCTCTCCCGAACTTGAAAATATGATTGGCAGAAAAGGTGGATTAAAATCATCTAGGGGGTCGAATCGAGATCACAATCTTTTAACGATTAATTGTGCAGCTCTATTCTAGAGTCAGCTTAACTTATAAATAAGGAATTTTCACATTAAGAACTTTAACTATAATATCATCCACACCAACTATGTGGTTATGTTGTTTGCTGCGGGAGTCTGACTGGCTTTTGTCATTCATCAGCATAAAAAAAATAGTGTTCCTCTGTTCTGTTATTTCATTTTGGTGCCAGACATCAGCTTGAGGAATCACTGTAGTAAAAGATTTATTTTAATGTGGCATTGCATGTTGGTAGGTGACACAGTGGCGCAGTTGGTAGTGCTGTCGCCTCACAGCAAGAAAGTCACTGGTTCGAGCCTCGGCTGGGTCAGTTGGTGTTTCTTTGTGGTGTTTGCTGGCAGTTTGTTCATGTTGGCTGAAGAAATAACGTGCTCCTTTTTTCCCGGCTTTTTTTCCGTGCTCCACTCTCGCGTTTGTCCGTTTCTTTCTGAATATGTCATTCTCGCGTTTGTCAGCTTCTCACAGAATCGGGTTTCCAAAGCACGTCAATAATCAAGCGCACATTATTATTATCAGCTCAATAAGTTGGTTATTTCAGATATAACGTTAGACGCGCGGCAAGCGCAAGGAAGAAAAGCGAAACCGCTCGCGCGTCAGACTTGCTCGTAAAAAAAACTGTGAGGCACAGGGTAGATTCTGCTCTACTCCATGGCTGTGTGGCTGTTCATCAGGACGATGATATATGAATATATAATTCCGCTGTAATCTCTCGCGGTGTATTTCAAACATGGCGGGTCCTTTGTTTACATTCTGGCTTGTTGTAAGTGAATGACGTATCTCTTCTGTAAACCAATAGCGTTTTGGTACCCTTTCTTGTGTTTGGGACCCTTTCGAAAGGGTCCCGAAAAAGTGGTACGGTACGGTTTGGTTCGGTACGCCTTTTGACAGTGGCCATAAAAGCGTACCAAACCGAACCGTACCGTACCATTCAGTGGAAATGGGCCATATGGTGCATAGACAATGTTTTGAAGGAGATAATATCCTGTGAGGGCCCAACAAAATCACATGTCAATTCAGAAATTTTTGATTAAGTGGCTAATTGGTACAATCTCATTCATACAATTTCTACGATTTGCTCATGGGTTTGGGGGAGGCACTGGGTGCCACGTCTCTTTTTTTAAAATCGACTGAACTCAGACGAATAAGCCACTAAACTGACAAAACATAAAATAGTTAAGTTTCCTCCTGAGATCAGCCTGGAGTGGCAGTTCTGTAGCGGATAACTGTCTGGCAACAGTAATTTAAGGCTCGTGCACACTGGGACGACTATCACATGTGATTATTATAGATGGTTGATACCTTGTGACTTTGGGTTGGGGGGGTTGACATTCTGCCTAATAAACTGTCCAACCTATGCTCTTAGCTCATGTATCTTGATGTGCTAAAGTTAATTAAATTCAATTCATGTTTATTTATATAGCGCTTTTCACAATGTAGATTATGTCAGAGCAGCTTAACATAGTTTTAGTGAAGTCCAGATTTCAGAGTTGAAGTTCAGTGTAGTTTAAATTTAAGGTATTACATTTTTGCTCTAGCTTAAAAGTAGGGCCAGACAGAATCTGCTGACATTTTTGCTGTTTCTGCACAGAATCTTGTGAAAAATCTTTAGATTTATGTGGAATGATTTTGAGTATCGTAACTAAAAACTTAATATATGAAATAAAAAATAAAACCTTTGTAATAACTTTTATTTCATGTTTACAATGCAAATCCAATTAAAACCCCTTGATTGGTAAAGAAAGCAAGTCTCTTATATAATATCTCTACTAAAATAGAGAAAATATTACTTTACAAACCGTATCATAAATAAATCATATGAACATTTTCATATCAGTCAATGATATTACTGAAATTAATAAAAAAACTGAATATAAATTTACACACATTTACACAAGTAAACAAATAGCCTCAATGATTGGCTAAAAATAGCCGAAGCAGTGGCACAGTAGGTAGTGCTGTGAGGTGACAGTGCTACCCACTGAGCCATCGTGCAACCTCTTTCCTGATCATAATGACTCAAATATTCTCTGGGATCTCGGTTTGACAATGAAACTTACCTTAAAGAGAACAGATGGAGGAAGCTCTGTATCTGAGGAGCCATTTGTCACCGTTGGGGCTTCATTCTAAATACCAAAAAAAAAGAGAGAGAGAGAAGAATTAACCACATCTAAGCAACTCTCAATCAAACCTTTTTACACAAAAAGCGTGTACACGAACACAGAAACCACATGACCTACTCCTAGACCATCCTAACAGTTAATCAAGACTCCTATTCTTCTTACACTCTGAAGCTCCTCCCATTGAGGCGGCTCTGACTCCGCCTCCCAATCCTGGGCCGCATCATTGGCCCAGTTAGTCTCTGTGTCCTGCACTTGCCCTACCTGGGACCCTTCCTCATCCCAGTGCTCGTCCTCCCAGTCTGGCTGTGCAGGGGCAGCGGTTTGACCATCCCAGCCTGACTGGGCAGGCGCACCGTCCTGTTCGTCCCAGCTAGGAGGTTCATACGACTGGACGGCAGGAGTAACATCATCATCCCATTCAGGAGCAGCATACGGCTGACCGTGAGGTTGCGCATCGGCTTCGTTATCTGAATCCCACTGCTGAGAGGGACTGACGGCGGGGCTCTGAGCGGGCTGGGGTGGGGAGGAAGGGTCGGCAGATGGGATTGTTTTTTTTTTTTGGATTATGGACAAATATTTAGGGTGGAAATATAGGGACCAAGCACCAATAATTCAAAAGAAAAGGGAATAAATCAAGAAAAACAAAGAAAAGAGGCATCAACAACTTGCAGATGAAGTACGAATTATAATCACTCCTAAATTATTAGCCCATTTGTACCTAAAGAGTCCATATTTGTACCTCAAGGGTTTATATTAGTTCCAAAAAAGTTTTTTAAGCACTAATATGTACACATGAAGTACCAATATGCCAACGCAATCTCACGGCAATTCGTACCTTTTTGATTTAGTTCCTAATTCGTATGAATTCGTACGATCTAATTCGTACAGTTTAGTACAATTTGCTGATCACCCATTGACGGTTGGGGTTAGGGGTGGGGTTATGTGCCACGCCTCCTTTTTTAAATCGTACATTTTCGTATGAATTAGCCACTAAACTGACAAAACGTAAAATACTTACGTTTCCTCGTGAGATCAGGCTGAATATGCTGCCTTTGAAAACGTACTAAGATTTCTGAGGGTGTATGATCCAGAATATAACAAGAGAGATGTGATCCATTGCAAACTCTTACCTCCCATGAATTCCACGAAGCCCCCTTCATGAGGCAGCACAGAATGAAAGCGAGACTCAATGAGGCTCATAGTAAGAGTTCAAGGTACATCTATTTCCATGTGTAACAGTGAGCAGAGAGAGCTCTCATAAACTGCAATAACAAGAGCTTATGCTCATGACAAACAGCACTCAGAGTGTTTTATTGCAGCAAATAGGCATGAGAGGAAAGCATTTGCTAAAGGTGCAGAGATCTAACAGTGTATACCGGAACTCAAGAGTAAGAGGACAAGAAATATACAATAACTATTCCAGCATACCTGTCAACCCTCCCGTTTTTCCAGAGATTTTGCCGTATTTTACGGTTCTATCCTGCTATCATTCCATAAAGGTATTTTTCAGTATTTCTCCCATATTTTCAATCTTTCTATGAAGGGTGGCAATAAACATTAAAGAGCCGATCCTCCCTATATGCAAACCAAACCGCCAAACCACCCTTGCTTTTAAAATGTGAATCTGTGGGATTGTCTTCCTTTTCATTACAGGCACAGTTACCACTCATATGCAATCCTCAAAACAGTCAGTTCATGTAGCAGTGCGTGACTGTCAGACGCGTTCCATTGTGATAAATACATGCAGTTTCCAAACAGATTCTGTAAGCGGAGCACTCTGGGTTTTAGGTGCGTCTTTGACATACTGTATAGACATAATATTAACAACAATCTAAACGTTGATGTTAGTGGCTTTTTTTTTATCACAACAAATTATGTCCTAAATGAGCATAAACAGAAAGCAATCGAATGCTTTCATTATAGATCTGTGCATTTTTAAAGTGACGATTGTGATGTTTAATGTAATCAAACTAAGAATCTAAATGAGAGATGCATTTGTTGCTCTTCAATCTGAATGGTACAGTGAGGAAAAGGCTTAATGAGATTTTATAACTTGATTAAATTTCTTCATAATAGCTATTACTTGGAAGACGCTAAACTGCTTGCTAATTTATTTGCAGCTTTTTCTAATGTATACTATTTAGTCTACTGTTATACTGTAGTCTATATTTAGTTTACTATTATACTGTAAATAATAATGAAAACGTATTACTTTGTAATTTACTCTTGTGGTTCAAAGCTGAATTTTCATCATCATTACTTCAGCTCTCACTGTGTCACATGATCCAGTGTTCATGTGACTCCAGGGTCACATGAAGGATCCTTCAGAAATGACTCTATTTCACTGACTTGTTGGTTAAAAAACACAGTGAAATCAACAGTCAAAAAAAATTTTTTTTTTTTTTTTTGAGAAAACCTAGTTACTTATTTTTCCATTTTTTTCATTATACCCTGAATTGTGATAAACAGAACATTCAAAAAGGCAGTACTTTATTTAAAATAGAAAACTTTTGTAAAGTAATTAATTTGAGAAAATAGAAAATAAAAAGTGTAGCATTTCTATGATTTCTATTATTATTATTATCACTATTATTAGTAGTAGTATTACAATAAATAGAAAAAAAATATCTGCTGATCTAAAAGATGTTTAACATAAACCACATGCAAGTGACACATGCACAACACATAAACCATATAGAGACATTTCCAATCCTTATAAATACAAAGCAGTCAACATTTGAAATGGATTAAAGCCTTTCAAAGTTGTCCAAAATCTATTGAACACCCATTTTTGTCATATGTTGACAGCTGTATGTGTATACAGTTAAAGTCAGAATTATTAGCCCCCCTGATTTATTAGACCCTCTGTTTATTTTTCCCCCAATTTGTGTTTAACGGAGAGCAGAGTTTTTTCAACACATTTCTAAACATAAGTTTTAATAACTCATTTCTAATAACTGATTTATTTTGTCTTTGCCATGATGACAGTAAATAATATTTGACTAGATATTTTTAGGCAAGTTACTGTATAACGATGGTTTGTTCTGTAGATCAGGGGTTCCCAAACTTTTCAACCCGCAACCCCCAAAATGACAATGCCAGTGACTCGCCACCCCCAATATCTTCTGAAGTGGTTATAAATACAGAAACCTTTCATGCAATGGCGCACACACCATAGACCCAAGTCTGTTCTTTGTTTAGTTTTTTAGATGGATGTCAGTGCTGTAAACGGGCCAGAAAGTTTAACCTGGTGTTATAAAATCAATCTGCTGCATCTGATGCTATTGCTGTGTCTTTAATATAATGTAATTACCCCAGGGGTTGCAGTCTAATAGAACTAGTAACTATAAGCTACTATAGTACCTATATAGTATAAAGTAACTATAAATGACTATTTTTTCTCTTCAGTTGGTTATGGATAAAATATGGTCATTGTGATTTTTGGAAATCACTAGGCGACCCCCCCTCCATTGTACCATGACCCCCACTTTGAGAACCACTGCTGTAAACTATCCAAACAAAAATTAGCTTAAAGGGGCTAATAATTTTGACCTTAAAATGTTTTATTTTTATTTTAAATTGCTCTAATTTTAGCCAAAATAAAACAAATAAGACTTTCTCCAGAAGAAAAAACATTATCAGATTTAGTGAAAATTTCCTTGCTCAGGTAAACATCATTGGGGAAATATTTTAAAAGGATAAAAATTTCAAAGGGGGGCTAATAATTCTGACCTTAACTGTATGTATGCATATACAGTCAAGCCTGAATTCTTCAATTCTGACTTAACATTTTTGTTCAATTGTAAATAAAAACACGTAGAAATATCGTTTCCCACATTGACACCTCTTGTAAATCGTCCTATTATCTTTTGGGAGAAGCCTGTGTCATTTGCAGTCAAAAAATAAAACTTGCTGGTAAAATAAAAGTAACTTTAAGTTAAAATTTGTCAGGGGTACGAGTCATTTCTGGCTTGACTGTATATAATGGAAACATGCAGGAATGTCATTTCACATCAAACCCGAAGAGGTCAATCTGGTGCATGCATCTTAGAAGGCTGAATATTTCTGTTAAACCCTGAACCCTGACCTTTACCCTTTGCCATCCTGAGCCATCCTGTTGTTTGACAGCCACCAGATGAATTGGAGAAATGCTGAATGTTTGCAAAGCATCCAGATCTAAATCCAGCAGACTATTCACTATTGGACCATTACACTGTTGTGCATAATACAAAACAGCAACAATGCTTAGGTGAAATCACTGCTTTGCAGAAAGAGAAAGCGATGGTGACAAACTTTGATCCTTCGGTTGAATAAGCAGAACGGGAGTTAATAATAGGACGATGACAGTCTATTTAGGGGTTAAAAATGCAGGAAGTGCCCCTATTAAAAGGATAGTTTATGCAAAAACTGAAAATTCAGTCATCATTTACTTGCACTTCACTTGTTCCAAGCCTTTTTTACTTTCTTCTCTTGAACACAAAAGTAGATATTTTGAAAAAAGCTGGAAATCGGTAACCATTGACTTGCATAGTATTTGTTTTTTCTACTAAAGGAAGACAGTGCATGTTTTTCAAATTATCTTTTTTTGTGTTCAACAGATTAAAGAATCTCATTCAATGTATAACCACTTGAGGTCGAGTATATAGTGAGTACATTTTTCTTTCAAGGAAAACTCCACTTTTTTGAAAATAGGCTCATTTTACAACTCTTCTAAAGTAAAACAGCTGTGTTTTACAGTTTTTTTTAATCTATTCAGACTATCTCTGTGTCCGGCGGAGAACTTTTAGCTTAGCTTAGCATAGATCATTGAATCAGATTAGACCATTAGACCACAGGTTATGTTCATTATATTGATGAAGTTAGCATATTTTCAGGCTCTGTGTAATATAATTTTGACTGCTGCAGCCATGAGACGGCAGCAAAGTTCCTTAATTATTTTGTCAAAATGAGAGTACAGTTCCTAGCCATATTGACATAGACTATAGCAACTTTTAATTTCCGTCAGTTTCACATGTAACTAGCGAGTCAAGCTTAAAATAGCAAAATTATAACTCTTTGATCATTTTTAAGTGAGATGCTAAAGGTCTAATCCGATTCAATGAATTATGCTAAGCTAAGCTAAAAGTGCCAAACCAAAAGATCAATTAAGTAGATACAAAAATGTTTAAAAAAACTCTAATAAAAAACTTTAGAGGTGTTGTAAAATGAGCCCTTTTTAAAGTGGAACGTTCATTTAAGCTATTTTGAAGGTTCCTAATTTTGTCTCCTTTAACTGGTTTATGCAACTCATTTTTACATTGTTTATCCCTATATATTCTTATCAAATATATTATATGTATACAGTTGAGATCAGAATTATTAGCCCCGCTTTAATTTTTTTTTCTTTTGTAAATATTTCCCAAATGATGCTTAACAAAGCAAGGAAATTTTCACAGTATGTCTGATAATATTTTTTCTTCTGGAGAAAATCTTATTTGTTTTATTTCGGCTAGAATATAAGCAGTTTTTAATTTTTTAAAAGCCATTTTAAGGACAAAATTATTAGCTCTTTTAAGCTATAATTTTTTTTTCGATAGTCTACAGAACAAACCATCGTTATACAATAACTTGCCTAATTACCCTAACCTAATTAACCTAGTTAAGCCTTTAAATGTCACTTTAAGCTGTATAAAAATGTCTTTAAAAATATCTAGTAAAATGTTATGTACTGTCATCATGGCAAAGATAAAAGAAATCAGTTATTAGAAATGAGTTATTAAAACTAATATGTCTAGAAATATGTTGAAAAAACTCTTCTCTTCGTTAAACAGAAATTAGTGAAAAAAATAAACAGGGGGGTTAAATAACTCTGACTTCAACTGTATAAGCATCAACTTTTTTCATTTTTACAATGTGTAAAACACTATTCAAAGACCTGCTCTCTATAAATGCCTCCTTTCTGAGAATATACTTTGCTTTATTCATCAGATGGCCATTTGCTCAGTTTTGATTAGTCGACTATACACAGGAGTGTTCACCAAATGGCAGCCCAAAGCCAAATGCCAAAAGCCATCATTGATTTAATACGCTGGTAAAAAAAAAAACATAAGAGAACCAGCATTGAAGCGCACATTGCTTCACAGATGGTTATAGTTAAGAGCGCATGTTTGTTTTCGATTTTTGTTAAATCATTTTAAATCAAAGACCGTAAACATGAACACTTACAAGCACAGTGATACAAACAGCAATGATTCTGTATCAATTAGGGCACAAGCTCTCATCATTTGGAAGTGCATTCAAAGCGGATTCACTTTCTCAGCACAAAAAAACTGACCTGTCAGCTTGTCGATATCACAAGCCAAACTTATTCAGGCCTCAGCAACATCTACAGTGTTTGAGGGTGAAAGGAGATGTTGTACAGGCTGAAATTATACAAATTTACTACTACATACAGTACAGTTGAAGTCAGAATTGATAGCCCTCCTGAATTATTAGCCCCCCTGTATATATATATTTTTTTTACCAATTTCTTTTTAACTCATGAAAATTTAACACATTTCTAAACATAATTGTTTTAATAACTTAATTCTAATAAAAAGATAGACTGGGCTAATAGTTTTGACCTTAAAATGTTTTTTTTTATTTGTTTTATTAAAAACTGCTTTTATTTTAGCCAAAATAAAACAAATAAGACTTTCTCCAGAAGAAAAAATATTATCAGACATACTGTGAAAGATAGCTTGCTCTGTTAAACAACATTTGGAAAATATTTTTAAAAAGTAAAATGACAGGTGGGCTAAGAATTTTGACTTCAATTGTATGTTTGTGGTGGAATTCCCATAAGTCTGCAATAACTAATGACCTGTTTCAGGCAGTTCAGTTTCACTTCTATCTTTTAGGAGACAATAACTTCATTACAAAAAATATAGCACCATATGTACTAAAAATATATAATAGGAGTGCTTTAAGCATGCTGTATTAATGGAGATAAAACGAGGATAAGGTTGGTGCTTTAGATGAGGATGGGAGGCAGTCATTTGACCTCTGACCTGCTCAGGTTGTGTTGTGGTGTTACTGTCAGACACTTCTGCATCCTCAAACAGGTTAATGATCTTGTCCGGTTTCACCTCCTGAGATGAAGCTGGTCTGGGCGGTCGAGAGACCGGCGGTACGTCTCTGAGCTGCCATGCAATCACACACATGCAGATTCACATGAGGAATACACAACACGCCAGATCAGTTATTTATGTGCAACACAAACACACACACACACACTCTACTGCAGGACTCAAGACATGCTGTGTTCAATTTCACTATACGAAAGTGTGTGTGACAAATAAAGGCCTGATTTGATTTGATTTGATTTAAAACATAAAAGAAAGATAGTGAGAAGAACAATACCTATTTGAAAAAAAAACAAATAAATAATTTAGATTTAAGATCCTGAAAGTACCACCCTCACAGTTTCATATGTACATAGTTTAGGTAATAATAAAAAGGAAACGGTAGACTGGTTGCCACAATATGGTTAAAAAAAGTAAACAATTTAATTGTAAATGGAAAACAACAAATCAATTTGATCAGTTTCTTTTTGATGATATACAAAACTGTTATAAGTGTATTGCTTTGATTGTTTCTTATAATGTCCCTTAATCATTAATGTAACTTAATGTAACATTTATTTATGCATTTTTTTTTGTATTAATACAATTTCTGGATTTTGATGTTTGGTTGTTTTGTGCATTGTCTAAAACCCTATTAACCCTATTTATCTGTATGTTTTTGGAAACTGCAATAAAACACCAAATGAGAAAAAAGAGAATGAATAAAAGCACAAAAGCAAAATTACAATGAGTAGTCTATATATATATATATATATATATATATATATATATATATATATATATATATATATATATATATATAGAGCCCATAAAACATGCAAACTCTCAACATTTAATACCTTTGATGGAGATTTAGGTGCATCTGACGTCTCCTGATTGTGGTTTGCTGCATCGTCACTGAAAACACACACAAAAAAACGCACTACTGTAAATAAATACCCAAATTAACTGCAAGTCAGCGAGCGTAATGAATGAAAAGAACCACCAGGTGGCAGCACAGATCAGTGTTAATTCTGCAGACAGATTAGTTTAAATCACTACCATGCACACAGTTACAGCATTTCACAGACATTCCAGTCATGCAGCTATTTTTCATGTCAGCATGAACCCATGATTCAGACCACACTCAAAACATTGCAGGGAGTTCCCAGAGCGTTAGTATCTTTTAGGAGCCCATATGATGCTTTTAATGCACATATTTAAAAAGCACATTATTTGTTACCTTCTGAAGCACCTCTTAAAGGGATAGTTTACCCCAAAATGAAAATTCTGTCATCATTTACTCACCCTACACTTGCTCCAAACCTATTTTGTCTGTCTTTGTTCTGTTGAACACAAAAGAAGATATTTTGAAGAAAGCTGGAAAACTGTAACCATTGACTTCCATAGTATTTGAAAGTCAATGGTTACCGGTTTTCATCTTTCTTCAAAATATCTTCTTTTGTGTTTAACAGAAGAAAGAAACCCATAAAGATTTGAAAACACTTGAGGTAACTATTTCTACTGTGTTTAACTGACAGAAAGAAAGTCTTATACACAGAAGATACCTCAAGGGGTGAGTACATTATGGGGTGAGTAATTTAAAATTTTGCATGAACTATCCCTTTAAAACAGAATAAATCTCTCTTTTTTATACGAGACTATTAGATTTGTAACTATAGATTGCATATATGCACAGACAAGTTCGATGTAATTCGAGATTACAGAGCGTTTCACAATAGTTATTGTTTCAAAGCAGGTTTCCAAAAGCTGCACATTATTGCTTTACAAACAAATTCGGAAAAGTCAAGGTTATTAGTCACCATAACTTTATAACTTGAAGTAATTAACTAGTAACTAATAGCTCATAACAGTGAAAGTTATTATATTTAAACATAGTTAACCAGCAGCTATACATGTTGCATCCACACACACAAACACACACATGCAAGCACACAAAACAGGAGCTGGTACCTCTTCCCAGTGCTTGCTGTCGTGACACCTTTTCTGTGGGATGTTTGGGGGAAGGGTTGGTTTAATTTACATGGGAAAACGTGTGTGCTGAACTACAGGAAACCAGAAGTGTCTTTACAGGCAGACAGGATACAAGTGCTTACTTGGCAACACGCTGCTCTTCCAGTTTGGTCATAATATCACTCAGATTCTGGTTCAGCTGTGAGATAGAAAGAAGGAGAGAGAGAGAAAGAGAGAGAGAGAGTAACTAACAATATTCTCATTTATCTCTTGTTAATAATAAGTCTCTTATTATTGGCCTCACTTTGCCCATGTCCCTGTGAAATGTTTCCTCCAGGCCAGACACACTCCGGAATGTGTTAACATAGAGGCCAACACGACTGCGGAGAGATAACAGTAGTTTGGTAAAAGCTTAAAAAACATGCTAGTTTGACCACTAAAGCATTTAAGGATATTCAGACAGATATTGAACACGTCATGTTTGCGACAGTACTTCTACTTGAGTGTACATTTTTATCCTTTCCACCTCAAAGCATTAACAGCAGTCTTCAATCACAACAAAGTACACCTTAAAATGATCACAATTACAAACTTTCTTTGTGGCTTCAATGGTGAATATCTTCCTTTTTTTTTAAATGATTTACTAAATCATTTAAGGTATCTGGTTGCAAACAATGTATAATACAAATTAAATTTAGTAACGTTCAACTTTATTTGTTTGTTGTTTATAATAAGTCTTTATAATTTGTTTGCTACCATTTACAATTGAAAGCAGAAGTTTACATTTACTGTATAAAAAGGCACATAACCATTAAAAAAAAGTCAGATGTTAATGCAACTAAACTTTTTCTCTTTTCGGTAAGTTAGTGTAACCCCACTGGTACTACTCCACCCAACTTGCTCCGAGCTGGGATGGAACTGGAGATCTTCCGCGTGGGAGTCGGTTGCTCTACCAAGGAGGCTAAAGACCATGGCCTCTAGCATCTGTCGCTAGAGCACCTTTAGAGGTCTGAGGAGTGAGGTTTACCTGCACAGCACACACTAGCTGGCCTCCGTTACATTAGGATTATCACATTTGTTTCTGTTATGCTTAATAGCAGAATAATGAGAGAGAGATTTTTGAGAAATTGTTATAACTTTACTTGAAAGTCACGTTTATATACAATAAGATTGTTCTGCCTCTGAAAAAGCTTAGATAATGATGTCAAGGTTTTGAAATTTTCTGATTGGCTAATGGACAACATTTGAGTTAATTGGAGGCACAACTGTAGAATAGTATTTAAGAAAACCTCAAACACACACTGCTTCCTTTTGTGACAACATGGGAAAAATCAACAAGCCAGAATCAACAAAAAAGCCAGATTACAATTTGCTAAATTACACTGGGAAAAAGACAAATTTTTTGGAGACATGTCCTGTGGTCTGATGGAACTAATATTGAACTGTTGGGCCATAATGACCAGTGTTACATTTGGAGGACAAAGGGGAAAGCTTACAAGCCTAGGAACACCATCCTAACTGTGAAGTATAGGGGCGGCAGCATCATTGTGGGGCTGTTTTGCTGCAGGAGGGACTGGTCCACTTCACAGCATAGATGGCATCATGAAGAAAGAACATTATGTAGAAATACTGAAGCAACATCTCAAGACATCAGCCAGGAAAATAAAACTTGGCCACAAATGGGTCTTCCAAACAGACCATGACCATAAGCATACTGCTAAATTAGTTCAAATCTGCTTTAAGGACAACAGAGTGAATGTTTTGGAGTGGCCATCATAAAGCCCTGAACTCAATCCTATAGAAAATTTGTGGGCAGAGTTGAAAAAGCTTGTGCGAGCAAGACAGCCAACAAATCGGACTCAGTTACACCAATTCTGTCAGGAGGAATGGGCCAAAATTCCTTCAAACTATAGTGAGAAGCTTGTGGAAGGATACCCAAAACATTTGACCAAAGTTATACAGTTTAAAAGCAAAATTTAAAAAATACCAAGGAAATGAACCAAATGAAAACTTTTGACTGTCTAGAAATTATTAAAAAATTCTCAAAAACAAAAAAATCTCTCTTTATTCTGGCATTTAGCAAATGTAAATCATTTAGGTAATCTTAATGGACCTAAAATACGTTTAGTATGATTTACCATCAGACATTTTTCTAAAAATGGTTGTGTTGCTTTTTTTAGAGTGTGTGTATGTAAACTTCTAGTTTCAACTGTACCTTAAAAAAATGTAAATTCAATGAATAATTTTTTCAGTGTACATAGAGGAAAATTTACGAATACAACAAAAAATACTTCTGTTATGTTCCACGCAGACACACAGAAAAAAATAAAATAAAAACACTGAGATTGTTCATTTTTAAGGAGCCTACTCCTTTAAGAGACAGAAATCAGCGCATGGATTAGAGAGATGATCTGGGAAAGGCAGGATGAAAAGCTGGTTATTACCTGTTCCACAGGGTGGGAAGTTCCTCCTGGAGATCATAATTGATCTCCTCAAACACTTTCTGAGCTCTGCCCAAGTCTTCCTCAGCCTAAACACAGTCATTAGTTTGAAGACACTATCATTTATGAAAGTGCATACACAAAGAGTTACACGTTCATCTCTGCATAAATAGACTGTGGGCAAATAATGATACACCGAGTGATCTGATCTCTGAAATCTGCAGTTAAACACACACAAAACCTTTACTTTATAATGTATTACACAAAAAGAGAGACCATGAAGAATTTCAAGCTATCAAGCTCCAAAAAGGATCTACACAGCTAACTATAAAAAAAAAACATGTATAAAACTAAAACACAGTGCCACAACATCAAACCCTCAAACACTGATTTATGAAAAATGTTTTAAAAAAGCAACATTAATATATATATATATATATATATATATATATATATATATATATATATATATATATATATATATATATATATATATATTTATTTATTTATTTATTTAATTTTCCATTCTTAGACAGTTCGCTAAATACCTCCTTTTGCATTTCATAAAGAGAATTTTCAGATTTTTTTAGATATTTAAATCCACTATTGATCAAGGTTTGGAGTATAAATACATCTATTCAGCAAGGCTGCATTTAATGGTCGAATGTGTAACCATCTTTCTGTGTTTAAAACTACAATCAGATGAAAAAGGAGATGGAAAATATTGCATTTGATGTACCATTTGACAAAATATGAGCATTAAATCACGGTGCAGAAAGAGGCAGAGATGCTTTAGTGTGCGAGAGAAGAATTTACTTTACTGTTGTGCTTTATTGCAACTTGAACAGTCAAATATTGCTTTTTGTAGAAAAGGCCATTTTGGGAAGTATTGATGTAAACAGTCAATCATGTCAATAATACAGTTTACCTTATTGACATTAGTCAAAGAATAAATTCATTCAGTGATCTTAGCTGAATAGGTTTCATATATAAACTGATATTTTACATTATTGTATGATTTAACATGTTAATTTATATGTATAAAAATTATACAAATAATAATACAGACCAAAATCCTATTGGACTTCTCTGGAGAGATCTGAAAATGACTGTACACTGTCGCTTCCCATCCAACCTGATGGAGCTTGAGAGGTACTGCAAAGAGGGATGGACAAAAATTCCCAAAGAAAAGTGTGCCAAGCTTGTGGCATCATATTCAAAAAAATGTAAAGCTGTAATTGCAGCCAAAGGTGCATCAACAAAGTATTGAGCAAAGGCTGTGAATAATGATGTACATGTGATTTTTTAGGTTTTTGTTATTTTTAATACATTTGCAACAATAATAAAAAAAAAATTTACCTTGTCATTATGGGGTATTGTGTGAAGAGTTTTGAGGAAATAAATGAACTTAATAAAGAAATATATATATAAAGACATAAAGAAATGTAGAAAAGGTGAAGTGATCCGAATGCTCTGTATAAATATATATATATTTATACAGCGAAATGAACAACCAACTTTTCCAGCATATGTTTTATGCAGCGAATGCCCTTTCCAGCTGCAACCCAGTACTGAGAAACACCCATGCACACTCACAATCACACTCGCACTACAGCAAATTTAGTTTATTCAATTCACCCGGAGGAAACGAACATGAACACGCGGAGATCATGCAAACTCCACACAGATATGCTAACGGACCCAGCCGGGGCTCGAACCAGTGACATTCTTGCTGTGAGGCGACAGTGCTAACCACTGAGCCACTGTGCTACACAATTACAATTTCATAGGGCTAAAAAATTTGCTTTCAACCAACTTTATTTTAAACACAGAAAATTTTTTAATGATATTTTTCACAATATTACTGACTAACAAAGTATTTGTTCACATAAAAGCAGCCTTGCTGAGTAATATAGACTTCTTTCAAAAATAATCAGACCAAACCTAAACGATTAAACAGTTACTTTTAACAAATAAAACTTTTCATTCATATCTGACAAACATGTATTAAAGTAATACAGGAACAAGTGCTAGGAAAGAAGCCATGCTGTGTGAGTGGGTGTGCACTATGAGTAAGGGGGTGTGGTTTAAGGGATGTTAGGGGAGAGTTTACAGGCTGAGTGACAGATGAGTCACCTGGTTTCGTGTGAGGTTAGTTTGAGCGATCTGATGTGCTGTTAATATTCCCTGAGCCCAAACAGGAGCAGCCTTTTCCACCAGAGCCAGAGGCTGGACGCACAGAGAGAGAAAAGCAGCGACAAACACACCTCTGCTGTTAGTTCACACAAATCTCAGCAGGCAAAGACAGAAGCTTGTGCAAATACACATAAAACACACTTCAGTACACATATTGCTCATAGTTAGAGCATAATTTTTACTCTGATGTCATTCCTAACCTACATCTACTGAACACGGTAGGTGCATTGAAACATGTCAGCAAGATGAAACCAATGGAAGTTAATGGGAACCAAAACTGTTTGGTTTTTCAACATTTAAAATAGCTTCTTTCAAGTTCCACAAGTCAAGAAAGCTTAGTCAAACTTTATTTTAAGCTACAATTCACGCTCTTAACAAAGCACTAACTACGACTTTTAGCTCAATTGATAGTTTTCAGTCACGTGACCTAGGCAGAGACCTGGCAAAGCAAAAAAAAATAAAGGGCCGTAATGGCAGCTACACTTGGATCTCCAAACAAATGCAGCACAAACCGGTCATATTTCCATCTGTTTTGAGCGGTTTCGATATTTGGTTCACATATCAACAGAACAGAACCAAAATATGAACACAAACTGTAAATTGTGAGCACATGTGATCCATACACTGCACCAGCAGCCGTTTTTCAGTCATTTAGCACGATCATGTCCCTCCAGTTTCTACTGTGTAAAAAGCATGCAAACGCACTCTCAGCCATTGGTACCATAGATTGTTATGAGTCAATGATGCTACCATTTGGCAAAAATTCTTTCTGGCAGTTTCTTCTCTGAAGGAATTCGGTAGAAGCACAGCTCAGGTTTGTCTTCTTGTTGGTTAGTAAGGCTAAACCTTATTGCACAACAATTACAGTTGAAAGCAGAAGTTTACATACTCTATAAAAAGGCACATAACCATTTAAAAAAAAAGTCGGTTGTTAATGTGACTAAACCTTTTCTCTTTTAGGTAAGTAAGGATTATCACATTTGTTTCTGTCATGCAGAATAATGAGAGAGATGTTTTTTGAGAAATTGTTATAACTTTTCTTGAAAGTCAAGTTTATATACAATAAGATTATTATGCCTCTGAAAAAGCTCAGATGATGATGTCAAGGTTTTGGAAGTTTCTGATTGTCTAATTGACAACATTTGAGTTAATCGGAGGCACAACTGTAGAACAGTATTTTTTCCCAGTAAATTACACTGGGGAAAAGACAAATTTTTGGAGACATGTCCTGTGGTCTGATGGAACTAAGATTGAACTGTTTGGCCATAATGACCAGTGTTACATTTGGAGGACAAAGGGGAAAGCTTACAAGCCTAGGAACACCATCCCAACTGTGAAGTATAGGGGCGGCAGCATCATGTTGTGGGGCTGTTTGGCTGCAGGAGGGACTGGTCCACTTCACAGCATAGATGGCATCATGAAGAAAGAACATTATGTAGAAATACTGAAACAACATCTCAAGACATCAGCCAGGAAATTCAAACTTGGCCATAAATGGGTCTTCCAAACAGACCATGACCCTAAGCATACTGCCAAGTTAGTTCAAATCTGCTTTAAGGACAACAGAGTGAATGTTTTGGAGTGGCCATCACAAAGCCCTGATCTCAATCCTATAGAAAATTTGTGGGCAGAGTTGAAAAAGCTTGTGCGAGCAAGACAGCCAGCAAATCTGACTCAGTTACACCAATTCTGTCAGGAGGAATGGGCCAAAATTCCTTCAAACTGTTGTGAGAAGCTTGTGGAAGGATACCCAAAACATTTGACCAGTTATACAGTTTAAAAGCAAAACTGAAAAAATACCAAGGAAAAAAAATAACGTTAGTAAACGTTGAGTATGATTTACCATCAGACATTTTTTTTAAAAGGTTATGTTCCTCTTTTTTTTAGAGTATATGTAAACTTCTGTTTTCAACTGTATCTAGCTTTTTGGCAAAAAAAAAAAAAAAAAGAGAAATTACTCAGCCTGTGACTTGGCAGACAGCAGGAAATAGTAATGTTTTGCCTGCCAGTAAACAATAAATGACTAACTAGCTTTGTAATGATAGTTAGTAAGGTAGTAATTTATAGTTAAGATTAGGTTTTACGTAGTATCAAGGATGCTGAATAAGATCCTACTTTATAACTACTATTAAACAGTAATACTTTAATAATAGGCAGGTAATAAGCCAGTAGTTAATAGCGTGAATTGTGACAAACTAAAGTGTCATCGAATATTTTATGTGTTTTGAAAAGCATGAGGTTGTGTTATATTAAGTAATGGCTGAATTTGAAGTTGGTTAGCTGACAAGGTTTGTGAACAAAAAGCCAGACCTTTTATCAAAAAGCTTGACTGAGGATCTGGTATACCTTTGCAATTTTGGCCTCGTCCTTTTTCTTGCCTTTTTGTACAGAGGCAAAATGATGTCTGGCACTGTCAAAGTCCACCAGCTTCCTTTCACGCTTTGCAATGCGAGCCTGCAGAGGGAGACAGAGAGACACGACAATGACCATCTAATACTGTACATGTCTGTTATTCCTTGGATAATTCATTAATTCGTTCAGTTTCCTTTAGCTAAGTCTCTTTTTCAGAGGTCACCACAGCGGAATGAACCACCAACTATTCCGGCATATGTTTTACGCAGCGGATGCCCGCTCTAGGAAACACCCATACACTATTGTTCACACACACACATACACTACAGCTAGTTTAGTTTATTCAATTCACTTATAGCGCATGTGTTTTGGACAAAAGTAACAAAGTGATTTTCTCAGAGCCCTGACAAAAGTTGCTTTCCAGGCTATAACAGCACATTCTGCACGCAACCCTTGACGGAGCTGCCAAAAATCATGTGATTTCACCACTGTGTCCCACGGTTAGGCCCAAATTTCAGTTTTTAGGTGCAGAAAGTAAAGTAGCAGCGTTTTCGACCTTATTACAAGTGGTGTTTCTGTTTTCATGTGTCACACTAATGATCAATCAACAGGTTATTTGGCTGATGGTGGGAGCAATAAAAACACCAAGTAGCTCCTGTAAATGTGGAAATTTCATTACATTCACATGAGAAACATTTAATGTAAAAAACAGGACTGTGTTCTGAGAGAGTTTATCGAGTCAAATCGCAATAAAAAGCAAACCTTTATATCTGGAAACTGAGCCAAGTATGCGTCCATGGAAATTACAGCATTGTCCAAAAGCTTCTCGTGGAAATCTTGCCACAGGAGGTCAGTGTCCTGTAAAACAAATGTGATCGGACACATAGACTAACATTTATTCTATAGGGTTGCATGATATTGGAAAAACTGACTGCAATATTTAATTGTATCAGCGATACATATTGCGATATTGAGTATACACTTTAACACATAAAATAAATAGCTCATTTTGGAAATAATCCATTATTTAGATTGATTAGGATGGTTCTGTATTAGACACATCTGCATATAATGTCATAAGCCAACCTGATTTGACCAAGTAGGACATGTTCCTGAATTAACATCTATGTTGATCCTGGAACAACATTCCAATCGGAATTAAGGGACACTTTTACAGTTTGTGTTAAGTTTAGGCGTACGGTTAGGCTTATGCACTTCTACATGATTGTTATCTATCAATTATTCCCCTCTCATTTTGGGAATAATTTACAGTTATGGTTGGGTTTAGGGTTAGGGAATTGGTATGGATTACATTTTCCAACAAAAATGATGTTCCAGGATCGCATGGTACTTGGCAAAATCATGACCTTGGTTATGATAAACCAAATCACAAGCATTGATCAATACAGTTAAAGCAAAGTTACAAATGAAACAAATGCTTTAATGGTTTTTTTTTAGAAATCTCAGTGTTCATGTACACAAATTAAATAATTGAATGTAAAATAACCCTGCATCGTCTTCATAGTATATATACTGTATACAATCAATCTTTCTTGAAGTTAATAAAATCGAAATGAAATACTACCAGACAAAAGCCTTGTCGCCTATCCAAGTTTTAGGAACAACAAATACTAACTTGACTTCCAGTTGATCATTTGGTATCAGAAGTGGCTTATATGAAAGGCAAAGGCCTCTAGATAATGCTTCACATAATAAAATGGAATCAGGACAGTAAGGTCTCACTTTATTTAAACAAAAGTCTTGCCACTTAACAGAAATAATATACAGTATAGAATATAAAGTCATCATAGTGCAGTGGAAAAAGAATTAATATTGTGTATGACTCCCATAAGCTTGGAGGACAGCATCCATACATTGGACAACATCCATACTCTGCAATTACTCAAATAATTATTAATAAAGTCATCTGGAATGTCAAGAAAGCTTTCCTGCAGGACTCCCAGAGTTCATCAAGATTCTTTGGATTCATATTCAATGGCTCCTCCTCCATCTTACCCCAGACATGCTCAATAATGTTTATATCTGGTGACTGGGCTGGCCAATCCTGGAGCACCTTGACCTTCTTTGCTTTCAGGAACTTTGATATGAAGGCTGAAGTATGAGGAGCGCTATCCTGCTGAAGAATTTGCCCTCTCTTGGGGTTTTGTAATCTAACGGGCAGCAGAAATGTTGTGATTCTTCAGGCTGTTGATGTTGCCATTCACTCTGCAGATCTCTCGCACGCCCCCATACTGAATGAAATCAAACCATGATTTTCACTTTACGAAACTTGAGTGATTTCTGTAAGAATCTTGGGTCATGCAGGTTCCAATAGGTCTTCTGCAGTATTTGATGATTCATTGGAAAATCCACCTTCTGACACTTTTCCAAATGATCAACAAGACGTCAAGCTATCATTTGTTGCTCCTACAACTGGGGCCGACGACAAGACAGGTAGTATAATACTCTACACTGTAAAACCCCAAAAATTAAAGTAACACAAACCGTTTGAGGAAACCGATTGCTACAAACCACAAGTTAAAAAACTAATCTATATGAGTACTGTAAACTTGCTCCATTTAAGTTGAAGTAATGAGGTATTTAATTTTATTCATTTGCTTCAACACTGAGTCCAAAACTCTTTTCATAGGAGTAGAATTAACTTTCAGTCAAATTTGAGTTAACTACACTCATTTCATTTGATAAAGTTGACTGTTGGGTTTTACAGTGTTTATTTAATACAATATATTTTCTATAAATGCTTTTAAATGGTAACTTTGTGGTTAAACTTTGCAATTACTCCATAATGATGTGTTTTAACTCCTACTTAACTATAATCCTCACTTTAAAAAATATTAAAAACATTGACTCATCCTAAAATTGAAAGGCAACAGCTTTTTTTTGAGTCGATTCAACTTAAATCAAGTCAACTACAGAACTTGAACTGCAAAATTCTTCTCAAATTTAATTTAAAATGCTTCTAGGTTTAAGAGTTGCTAAATATTTAGATTAGAAACGAGACAAAAACTTTGCAGTGTGGGTTAAAAGTTGAGCCAACTCAAAAAAAGCTGCGCAAAAAGTTGCATTGCAATTTTAAGTTGAGTCAACTTTCATGTTTTTACAGTGCTGATTCGACGTTGCAGATCTTGCGAATGTGCCTATTCCGGATGTGCACATTGCTATATCGCTGAAGAAACAATACATCGTGTAGACCTAATTTTATACACAGTCTTTCTCACACACGCCGACAAACCACAGATGGCAAAAGTGTAAACATGTATGTACAGATCTACTCTAAAATAGATATGACTGCAGCCACACTACTCTAACATCACTAGCTCTAGAGCTGCAGTCTGAAAGTGTCTTTAGTTTACCTCCAGATTATTATCCATTTCTTTCTCTATCATCTCCTTTACTCACGGAGAGATGTGCAAGTTTGAGTGGAAGGAAGGAATCAAACACAAGTAGAAAACAGAATGAATGAACAGAATAAAACAGTCGTGTGGACAGCATCCAGGGTTAAATATAAAAGTAAAGTTTTTTATAGTGATATGATAAAAACAGATTGAGATGAGATCATTGTGAAGAGTATGTGGTTAGCACAGGTCAAATCATTTAGTCATGGTGGATTTGATTTAATATATATGCTATAATAATAATTAGTTTAATTTATAAATGGCAACACCTTATAACAAACATAGACTGAAAAAAATTATTCAAAGATGATTCCTTGGATTTGCTCATTTTTTTACGTTAAGTGGTTGTAAACTATTTATCTGGGCTAAATTTAAATAAATAAAGTTGAACATTATTAAATTTAATTTGTTTGTTTAAATTCAACACAAATAAATTGTTTGCAACAGCTCTGCATGCAACACTTTTTTTAGTGTACCAAAAAAAAAAAATCAGAAAACGTTACTAAACATCATTTCAAACACATGAAGAATGAGGAAGCTACAAATACAAACGCATCTTAAATATACAATAAAATGATAGAAAAAAATAGTCATATGCTTAAAAAGAAGGGTCTTAAGATGGGATTTAAAAGTGTAAAGACTATTACTGTTTTCAATTGTTTGATGTGTTCATCAAAGCTGCATTTATTTAAAGTAAATAATGTGTGCAATGTGTATCTAGGACACTCTTGAAAAAGAGATTACAAATCTCAAGAGGCAAAACAAATGTCTTAAAATTAATAATATTAATAATAATGAAAATAATAAATTTTTAATTTTTGCTAGCCATATACAGTATAAATCCATGCAATATATATATTTTTTTCTTTTTTAAATATTTCCCAAATTTTGTTTAACAGAGCAAGGAAATTTTCACAGTATGTCTGATAATATTTTTTCTTCTGGAGAAAGTCTTATTTGTTTTATTTTGACTAGAATAAAAGTGGTTTTTAATTTTTTAAAAACCATTTTTTGGACAAAATTATTAGCCTCTTTAAGCTAATTTTTCTTTCGTTAGTCAACAACAGAACAAACCATTGTTATAGAATTACTTGACTAATTACCCTAACCTGCCTAGTTAACCTAATTAACCTAGTTAAGCCTTTAAATGTCACTTTAAGCTGTATAGAAGTGTCTTGAAAAATATCTAGTAAAATATTATTTACTGTCATCATGGCAAAGATAAAGCAAATCAGTTATTAGAAATTAGTTATTAAAACTATTATGTTTAGAAATGTGCTGTCAAACAATCTGCCCTCTATTAAACAGAAATTGGGGAAAAAAATAAAACACATACGCACACACACATATATACATATATATATATATATATATATACACATATGCTATGCATAGCATACATATAGCATGGATTACATGGATTTATACTGTATATGGCTAGCAACAACTGTTTCTAGTAACCATTTACCCCAAAGATAAAAAAAAAAACACCAGTAAATTGATCATTACAATTTTGGTCATTATTGGTCATTATTCTCTGGATTGGTAACCTTGTGTGAAAACTAGGGCCTTTTTCCATGAAGTAAAAAACAGATCTCCTTTAAAATTTGCCTTTCCTGTGAGACTTTTCGCATTGAAAACCCTAATGTGACACAGTCCAGACAGAGTGCTTGTGCTCATGCTTACACACCTCTGCGATGGAGTCCACCTCCTCTTTGCCAAACCACTCAGGGTCATACATTTCTGCCAGACAGTCGTGCAGACGCTTGGAACACTCGTGCATTGCTGTGGAAACAGACAGACAGACGGGCACTGATGCTTTCGTATTCAAGCTGACACGCGTGTATTTTCTTTCTGTTGGTGTGTTTGAGAGAAGTGAGAACTGCTGTGGGCTCAGGGCAGGAAGCTGAGGGAAGACACTGCATTAGGACACAGTGGTAGATATTACAGTCTGCTATAGGAGGAGGAAGGTCATCTGCTTACTTTGCATTTTTTAGTGTACTACTATTGTACCAGAGGTGGTTTCATTCAAGAATTGTGAAACATAGGAACTACTGTGCTAATGTGAAGGTTGGGAAGATTAAAAAAAAGCAAAGATCTTTAAAAAAAAACAAAAGATTTTGGGTTTGGAACCCCATGAGGGCTGGTAAATGATTCTCAATTAAGAATCAAGATTACTTAATCAAGATTAAATAGAGCTCCACACAATTCATTCATGTTGTCCCAACACAAATCGATTAAGTTATCTTAGCAAATTCAGGTGGATTGGACATGAAACAAATGCACTGTAGGAAATGCTGCATTCTACACAATTATTTTTTGTCAAAAAAAACTTTATTAACAATTATTTCATGGGCAGCACAGTGCCGAAGTGAGTAGCACGATCGCCTCACAGCAAGAAGGTCGCTGGTTCGAACATGTTTTCCCCATGTTGGAGGGGGTCTCCTCTGGGTGCTCCGGATTCCCCCACAGTCCAAACACATGTGGCACAGGTGAGTTTGTCCATAGTGTACGTGTGCGAATGAGAGTGCATGGATGTTTCCCAGCGATGGGTTGCAGCTGGAAGGGCATTCACTGCGTAAAACATATGCTGGACAAGTTGGCGGTTCATTTTGCTGTGGCGATTAATAAAAGGACTGAGGTGAAAAGAATATGAATGAATGAATGAACTAATCATTTTGTGTTGAGACAACATGAAGGAAATTTATTTAACTTATTACAAGTTTCTACAAATTTAAGTGGATTGAACATTAAACAATTAAAAAAATACTATAGGGCCTACTATAGAAATATAGTTTTAGACTGAAATTATTTCACTTTCTCATTGTATATTCACTCGTATACACTCTCACAAAAGACTTTAGCTGCTCGTTTGAACTACTTTAAAATGAGTTGAAACAACAAAATTTGTCATTTTTAATGCCATTTTTTTTAGATCCCACAATGCTATTTGCAATTACAGTAAACATAACTGGTTAATTTCATTAATTAAAAGTTACAAGGGGGGAGGAGTATGTTTATTTACAACCATTTACTTGATTTTACTACCACTTACTTGTAAAAATGTTCTATATATAAAAACTATTATAATGTGTATAACACACACACACACACACACAGTTGAAGTCAGAATTATTAAATTTTTTACATTTTTATTTCTTTATTAAATATTTCCCAAATGATGTTTAACAGAGCAAGGAAATTTTCACAGTATGTCTGATTATGTTTTTTCTTCTGGAGAAAGTCTTTTATTATTTGTTTTATTTCGGCTAGAATAAAAGCAGTTTTTTTATTTTTTTAAATACTATTTTAAGGTCTAATAAAATAATTAGCCCCTTTAAGCTATATATTTTTAATAGTCTACAGAACAAACCATCGTTATAAAGTAACTTGCCTAATTACTCTAATTACTTTAAGCTGTATAGAAGTGTCTTGAAAAATATCTAGTAAAATATTATTCACTGTCATCATGGCAAAGATAAAATAAATCAGCTAAAAAAAACTTATGTTTAGAAATGTGTTGAAAAAAAAAATCTTCTCTCCGTTAAACAGAAATTGGAGAAAAAATAAACAGGGGGCGAATAATTCTGACTTCAACTGTGTGTGTGTGTGTGTGTGTGTGTGTGTGTGTGTGTGTGTGTGTGTGTGTGTGTAAACTTTGTTCATTTGAGATAAATTGAATGAAAAATCACAACTATTTCTTCTAAGTTATAACTAAACCTAAGATAAAAATGGAAACCGCAATATATATACACATTTGGCAAGCTCATGTTTAATTAATTTTTAATTAATTCTAAATGATAAATTATTAAAATTGTATCAATTTTAAACAACACAAGGGTAAAATAATGAGCATATTATTAAGATGTACTGTCCCTTTAAATGGAAACCAACATGACCTGACCTGAAAACACTTTCCACATGTGTGTGTGTGTGTGTGTGTGTGTCCAAGAAAGAATCTGTGATGGTCTTATCTGTGTTACACACAGAGGCAGGTACACTGAAAACCCACTATCATCTGTTTTTCTGCTTTATCTAAGAGAAACACATACGATGTCATATTCTGGTGCTTTTCTCATCTGACTGCACAGATTGACTGCGTTTGTTTTTCTTTTAAATGTTCTAGATAAGCTTTCACTTTCCTCTAAATGACGCGTGGTCAAGTTACCAGTAAACCTAGATCTAATTACAGATAGCCACAACAAATCAACAAAACTTCTCAAATCATTGTGCTTTACGATAAACATTGTTTAATTCTACTTTTATAATTCTACAAAAAGTATATGCTAAAAAATGCTACTTTTTAAACACAACAGTAGGTAATGAACGGTCCTCATTTGTGGAAGAATCAAAGTAATTTTGTATTAACTATTCATTTGAAGGTACGTTAAATGGCTTTAAAATGTGCATTTCATATTCGAAGTTGGAGACCCCAAAACCAACATATGACCTTTTTTAATGCATTATAGGGGCTCTTTAAAACTAATATACTGATTCTGACATATAAAATATGTAAAATACTTTAATATAAAGTATTTATAAAATACTTTAATTTCATTGGATCACTCATGGGACAAGGAGACTCTTACTTTTGACTGCCAGCAAATACGCTTTCAAGTCTTTCTGCAGTTTGGTGCCCTCGTTCTGTGAATAGAGAGGAGTCAAAGAAGAAACCATCACTAGATATTTAAGAAGCATGAAAAGGGTCAGAGGTCAAAAGTCAAAGCAAGCAGTGTATGAAGGGTTAAGGCTTTTACCATCTGTTTGTTAAAGTTGGCTACTTGCTCCTCAAAGGCTGTGTCTTTGGTTTCATCCGCCTTTCCCAGTTTCTGCATCACCTACAGGAAAATAAAGCAAAAGAAATGACGCTCTGCATATGATTCGCGAATTGCGGGTACATTTTTGTCTCTGTCTCCAAGATAAATCTAATATTCAAAGAGAAAAATGAAATTGTTTATAATTGTTTATTGAATTATAACACAAATTATATGAAGTTATTGCCAATAATAAAGCTCTTTTATGTGCAAATAGGGACTTTTTGTCTTGAAAATTTACATGAGGCTATATATATAGTTGAAGTCAGAATTATTAGCCCCCCTTTGATTTTTTTTTTCTTTTTTAAATATTTCCCAAATGATGTTTAACAGAGCAAGGAAATTTTCACAGTATGTCTGATAATATTTTTTAACCTAATAAACCTAGTTAAGCCTTTAAATGTCCCTTGCTGTATAGAAGTGTCTCGAAAAACATCTGGTGAAATATTATTTACTGTCATCATGGTAAAGATAAAATAAATCAGTTATTAGAGATGAGTTATTAAAAGTCTTATGTTTAAAAATGTGTTAAAAAAATCTACTCTCTGTTAAACAGAAATTGAGGAAAAAATAAACGGGGGCTAAATTCAGGGGGGCTAATAATTCTGACTTTAACTGTATATACATGTGTATACATATATATACTTATATATACTTATGTATATATATACAACCTTGTTTTAAACAATAGCTATCTGAATTGTAATTGTTAGTGTGCAGAAAAATCGCTAACAAAACTAAAGCCAATAGATTTCTTTACCCACCTCCCACCATGCAAGTACATACACACTTTAAAACACACACAAACACACATCTTTATTTGTGGTCATTCTTTCCTGCTTTGTCAATATATCGTAGTGTATATGGTTTAATAATCATTTTAAATTATGTAAGGAATAAATAAATGAATAAAAAGCTGCATTAATCCCACCCACCCCCCCACCCCACCCCTCTTAGTAAGTACGCACAGTGCGTACAGCTGTACGGCTGCAGGCGCCACTGCTGTCACATATCTATCATTTACTGTATCTATATAGATGACTTCTCTAATGTCAGAGGAAAATGCATGTGTATCAGTATATTAGATCCATATTCATTTTGGACCTCTTTCAGGTTTAAACAGCAGCATTATACACTAAAGGAAGCAAAAAGTGTAAAACATACTGTAAAAAGTCCACATGCATTGGATGGCCTTGGCTTATTGCTGTAATAACTTTCAACACAATATTTACTTTTAATCAGTTTAATTCTTATTGAATTCTTTTAATGGTGGAAAAGCAGTCTAAAAATGGTACCATGTAATGAGGTTTTAGATCTCAAGACACCACAAATAATGCCAACAGTCTCAAGTTCCTCTTTCCCTTTAAGAAAGCTGACATACAGCAACAGTTCATAAAAAATGAAACTCAAAGGGATAGTCCCCCGCAAAATAAAATTCTGTCATAATTTACTAACCCTTTACTTATTTCAAACCTTTAGGGATTTCTTTCTTCTATTAAACACAAAAGAAGATATTTTGAAGAATGCTGGAAAACTGTAACTTCCTAAACTTTACCTAACAGTCAGCTTTATCAAATGAAATGAGTGTAGTTAACTCAATATTGACTGAAAGTTGATTCTACTCATTTGAAGAGAGTTTTGAACTCAGTGTTGAAGGTAATGAGTTAATTAAATACCCCATTACTTCAACTCAAATGGAGTAAGTTCACAGTACTCATATAGCCTCTTGAGACCCCGCCCATTGACTTGTGTCCTCTGTAGTGGACATTGCATTTTCATGAATTTTCTTTGTATATTTTGAGCTACTCTGTCAAGTCCTGTTGTACTGTTCAGAAGACATCCTGGGCTTTCTAGTGATATGTTTTGATTGGCTGGCATGCTAGGAACCACTTCTTACACTGCATCCAAAATGGCTGACATACAAACGAGCATATTTGATGGGAAGGAGAGAGGCATGTAAAATTTAGCTTTTTAAATGTTTTTTTACTAATATTATTACATATATATTTGTTTATTAATGTGTCAGGAACAATACATTTAGCTTTCAAAGCTGTTAACTTGTTTGTGTTTCCAAATATCATCCTTTTTTAAATGTCCACTATAGTGGACACCGTCTTAATGTAATTAATGACTGCATGTTGTAGGGGCAGAACTGAAGGAGAGAGGATTCTTTATAAAGTAGTTTAAGGAGACTCTGATTTAGAGTCTGACAATCAGAAAACTAGAGAATTGGAGACAATTAGAGAATGACAATCAGTTTAAATCACTTTTATGTTAAATTTGTTTTGGATTAACATCACTTCTTTTTTCTTTTTCTTGTTTTTTAGTTTGGCTCAAACTGTTTCAGGAATTTCTATACAAAAAGGAAAAAAAGGCTTTTGTTTTGTTTTTGTTACATTAATATTGGATTAATATCCCTTTACAGCCATATCCTGTACAGTTTTGTTGTCTGAGTGGCGGTCATTTAGAACTAAAATGGTCCTGTGGTCCACAACAGTGGACATGCTGTAAAATTAAAAATAAGAACAAAATGTAAAAACACAAAATTTTAAAATATTGTTTTAACCCAAATGATGTAGGAAATCACAGAAAAATCAAACAAAAAATTTTATTTGGGTCTCAAGAGGATAGAGTAGTTTTTTTTTCTCAAATGGTTTGTAGCAATCGGTTTCTTCAAACGGTTTGCCTTAACTTATTGGGTTTACAGTACTCAGTTGGTTTGAGTTTTCTTTATTTATTGGGTTTTACTGTGCTCAAATTGCTTTGTTTACTCAAATGCATTAAGTTCACAGTGTTCAGTTGGATTAGTTTTGAACTTAAATGGTTTGTTGCAATCGGTTCCCTCAAATGGTTTGAGTTACTGTACCTTAACTTATTAGGTTTTACAGTGTATTTGTTTTTCATACTATGGAGGTAAATGTTTGCACGATTTGAGCTTTCTTCAAAACTTCTTCAGTGTTTAACAGAAGAAAGAATCTCTTGAAAGAAACAATTAGAGGATCTAATCTTCATTTTTGAGTGAACTATCCCTTTAATCACCCAGTTTTATAACAACGAGCAGCCATAATTATATTCTTTCCACACATGCAAACAAACACTCAGCAAATGTTTAAATCTAAAAGTTTTTTAATCCATAGGATGTTTCTTGATTATACAAGATTAACATTTCCTAATAGATTTAATTACGCACGTTTCCTTTAGTTCAGATTGGCCTACTTCCTGCTTAGCATGTACAAGGTAGTGCTTGTATCCGGTTCTGTTTATTCAAAGGTTATTTCCTTTTCCTTCTGCTCCCCCAAGTCACCTCTTAGCGACATATTAAACATGCCATGCCATTTGTGGCCCAGATACGTTGGTCTCAATAAGGCAGAGAAGGGCAACAGAAAAGCTCACCCTGTGAAGTCATTTCATAATATCAAAAGGATTTAAAATGAAAGGTCTCACTTTTTTTACACAATAAAAACTTTCTATAAATTTAGTATGAAAAAACAACTATATATTACCAATTACAATTAAGAATAATTAAGATTTTAAGTCTCTTATGTGTGTGTTAGGTGTCTTTGTTTTATTTATACATAATCTGAAATACAAATTGGTAAGCTTTCTACTCATGTATGACTTGTTTATAGGCCAATATTTAGCCAAGTTAAACTATTTGAATATCTGAAATCTGAGAGTTTGAAACAAAAATCTAAATATTGAGAACACCTTTAAAGTCATCTAAATTAAGTTCTTAGCAATGAATATTACTATCCAAAATGTAATGTTTACAGTAGGATATTTATAAAATGTCTTTAAATTACGTCACGTTTCTTTATGCGTCCATAATAATTTTATTTTTATGTATTTAACGACATATTCTCAATAAATGTTTTATTTACACACAGTTTATGTTTTTATTAGTAAATAAAATCAATACATTTTTTTGAGCAGGGGAGATGGTGCCCCCCTCTAGAGTTGAGGCCTGCGTACTGATTAATGCCACCGTTTACAAACTACAGTGGCACCGCCAGTATTTTGGAGCCATAGAACCACAATACCACCATAGTAGCGGTAAACCGTGCAACCCTAGCCAACACAGGGAGAACATGCAAACTCCACACAGAAATGCCAACTGACTCAGGGACTCGAACCAGCAACCTACTTGCTGTGAGGTGACGGTGCTAACCACTAAGCCACCGTGCCACCCCGAACTAACATTAACTAGCTAAAAAACAAACGGTAAATTCTAGAAAACTCTTGATTCAGATCAAAGGAATTTAGTAACACTGGAGGGGAAATCACAGTGACCTCTAATCTCCCGCCGGCTTTCTCTTGGCCTATATTAATAAAGGCTGTGTCAGCTGTGCTCTTCTTGAGGAATGTATGAATGTGATTCACGATGCAGGGAGAGTTTGAAAGCTGATCCTGAATGCAGCGCACCAGGACCCCTGGTCATCCTAAAATACAGTGTCCTGTATGTGTGTCATCGTGACGGCCTGCACAGAGCTGCAGATTTAAGATGAAGGCATTCTCTCTGACTCAGAGGTCTTCCAGGAACACTGGATATGACTGTACAATATCACAGTCAGGCTAACGATTCGATGATTTCACAATGGCCGACGAAATCTATGTTCAGTATGCTTAAAGTTTTCAACCAGCATTTTTTTTTTGGGCCGTGAATGACACAGGCTTTAACCAAAAGATAATAAGAGGATGTACAAGAGACATCATTATGAACAACAAATGTAAATAAAAGCTAAGAAGTATTTGAACAAAACTTTCAGTCAGAATTTGCCAGGGGTATGAATAATTTCGAGCTTGACTGTATATCAATTGAGCGATTTCAAATGGTGACTGTCCAACATAATCTCATGGCAATTTGTAACTCATTCATTCATTTTCCTTTGGCTTAGTCACTTTATTCATCAGAGGTCGCCACAGTGGAATGAACCGCCAACTTATCCAGCATATGTTTTACACAGCGGATGCCCTTCCAGCTGCAACCCAGTTCTGGGAAATACACATAAACACTCATTCACACA